TTCACATTTGATCCTTGTGACCTTTTGACTTTTGTCGGCAATTCGTAAACAATAGCTGAAAAAATGAAAATACTACGTCGACAAATTAGCGCTGGCTGACCAGAATCCGAGCAAAAAACGTCATCAGTATGGAATTTTGGGGGCCGAATCGCAGACGTCTCTCAGCTCCCCGCGAAACGTCCCTAGTGGCGAGGAGTGAGAAGAGACGGCTGCATTTGCAGGCTCATTTACTTAATTGATATCTTACGTTATGTCTATTCTTGTATAAGTTAGGGCTGATACTGACCAAAATGCGTCATAAAAAGCCTTGAACTTCAGCTTTCCTTTGTTTATGCACTTGGAATTTCTTATTAGTGATCAATAGCTACAGACCTGGGCCCGGTTCCTCCAAGGCCGATTAGCGTTAATCCAAGATTAAAAGTTTGTTCCGTTTTTTGTATTAACATTCCTATGCATTGCATAGAGTAACATTTTGTGTTATAATTACCGTATCCTGGAGTGAGAGCTCAACAGTATTTTGAAACCTCGAGTTGCATGTTCTCAGACAAGAATACCTTGATTAAAATTTGGCTTAATCCTGGGTTAAACTTAACCATTTCTCGAGGGAAAGGTCCCTGGCCCTGGTTCATGCACGGCCGATTAGCGTTAATCCAGGATTAAAGTTTTGTTCCTTTTTTTATATTTTTGATTCCTATGTATTGTTTAGAGTAACATTTTGTATTTTCGTCATTGCATCTCAGAGTTGAAGCTGAGAAGTGCATTTTGTAAGCTCGAGTTACATGTTCTTAGACAAGAAAACCTTGCTTAAAAATTGGCTTAATCCTGGGTTAACCTTAACCATCTTTCGAGGAACCGCCGGCCCTGACGTTTACATATCCATGGTACATGGTTTATTCTTGCTCTGTAAATGTTTCTTAGGTTAAACGTTTAGTTGAATTTGTATACTGTGCTGTTAATATTGAACTTTTCTTTGTTACTGCATTTGGCATTTGCAACAACAAGGTAGTTGTGACCTCCGTGCACAAATGACGTCATACCATGAGCCCACTGAGTTGAAAGTTCTTGATACTTCACGAACCTTGATCCAATGGCCTGATACACAATTGACTTTCCATAAGTATCGGCTAAACCCAGGAAAGTTTGACGACACATAACAAATGGATACCAGGCAATGGCTCCAATAGTAAAAAGTGACTGGAAGGAGACAAACTCATTTCCATTCCACTTGTAAATGTTGGCTTTCGATCCATCGTAAAAGTTTGCAATTGCAAGGAATATTTGACCATTCACTTTAAACGACTTCACATCTCGAATTCCAAACGTTGGTATTGTTTGTAGTCTGGAGAATCCCCTCCCTGACCACTTTCTCACCTCCAGCCAATGATCACTGCCGAAAGCAATAAACGTTTCATTCTCAATCATAAATGACGCGACCCCTCCAAACTTTCCAACGGTTGGGAATAACTTCGAAAACTTATCAAACGAGTTGTTCCTCCACTTGTAAATGACTAAGTCTACAGTTCCCTGTCCAACATTTTCCGAATTTACAATGGCAAGAAACAATTCATTCCTTGTTTTATAGAACTTTAATTTCCTTGCTCCTCTCGTTGAAACGTTTTGAAAAACAACAAACTCTTGTCCGTTCCACTGATAAATTACTGACTTCAGTCGCCGTGTAGATCTAGATTCGAAATTGGCAACGGCAAGGTAATATTTATCAGCAATTGTAAAATATTCCATATCTACTGCTCCCATAGTATTGATACTTTGGTACAGGGAGAATTTTTCAGTAAGGTTGTTCATCTTGTAGATGAATGATTCTGTGTTGAATCCATCGCTATCATTTCTGGAGTTGGCGAAGGCAAGAAACTGGTTTCCATTAATAGTGAACTGCTCAACATCAGTAGCTCCACTGGTTGGTAGATCTTGGTATTTTTGAAAGTAATTACTGGAAAAATCTTGAAGGGAAAAACAAAATTTCAATAACGTTAACATTGTACAACAGAATTAATACTGGAATGACACAGGATAGATTCTCGCCCGGATCCCGGCAGAGTAACCCACAAACAAGACGCTCTTACAAAGCAGACAGTCGAGCTTGCTTAGCTATCGCTAGGTGCCAACGAGCAAAGATTTTGTCTATACGCGCGAGCTAGCTGTTCAATTTGTTTAGAAATGTCATGAATTATCGTAATTTACGAAACAATAGTTTGAACTCAATTAGTTTGCATAAGCGAAAATTACCTTCGAAAATAGTGAACTAAACTGTTCTACTTTCTACTCTACGGATGTAACCTACAAAATCAAATCACACATTACTTGTAAAACTTTAAATGTTATCTACATGATTCAATGCCGCCTTTGTAATTTGCACGGGAAAGAAAACGCCGCCCCAAGGACCGTTTTAATGAACATAGACGCCCTATGCTTAACCCATCCGGTTGTTACATCCAAACCGCAGTTCCAGAACACTTTCTCAGCAATAGCCACTCTGTTTCCAATATGTTACTTATCCCAATTGAAATACTTAGATATGAACGCGATTGTCTTTGGAAAGCACGTGAGGCGCACCTCATTCATAAAGCGAAAACCATCGAGCTTCTGGGAATGAACAAACGTGACGAATTATTATCATTATGTAATCATTATCTTTTTTCGGTTTATTTTTCTTAGCAGCCACACCTTACCACGTCGTACCATGTAACTTCCGCTTATTATTTTACAGTAGTATATATACTGTATATTCGTGGTTTTCCCAATAAACCTGATGAAGACTGGTGTTGGCCACTCGAAATATTGTATACCTCAGCCTTTTTCATGTTGTTTGATCAGTCTATGCAGTAGTCTTTTTTACTTTAATTCTATTTTTATCGTTTTCGACTGATCACGATCTTATTTTTTGATCCAACGTTGAGCTACCTTGATCGTTCACGGTTTTTGTGGTGGTTTTTCAAGCCTTGTTTTACATTGTTTTACTGCATAAAGAATTTGAAATCCGCCGACTTTACATAGCATATTTTTCGAGAAATAAAAGTTCGTGTTTTTGTTCGAAGTCGCGCACAGGTCATTTTGCGTAAAATTTAGTGGACTTGTAATCGAACTTAGAATCTTCGAAAAATCATATGCCTCTTATCTTATGACAAAAAAGATTTATTATGTAAATATGAAGAAGAGCTCAAATATTCGTATTGGACCATAACTATTGGTATCAAGATAAGAATATGGGTATTATAAAACCGACCTAAATTATATTTTCGCATCAATATACGGACGTTGTTGGAAAGATGCATGCATACCTATACGTTACGAACCATTATGCCATGACGTGAATATACATTTTGACAAGAGCCATGATGGCTCTTGGTTTTTAATTACACGCACGCACACAGCGTAAATATACGTTATGAACATAATATAATTACGTTAAAAGCCATGATTTCATACGTATACGTTATGCGTAACATGTATGTAAATATACGTCATAAGTATGCGTTCACTTCCAGCGGATAGTTGTATCCAGGGAGCATGCCCTAAGCGTCGGGAAAAAAGCCCAAGTAAACATGGAGGAATAGCAACTTTCCATTGACGCCGTTGATAGAATCGGCGGCATCTAGGTATAGAATTCTGACCCCGATGACATTCGGGCCCTAAATAGGGACTGAAATTTTTCCACAGGCGTCTGAAATACTGGCCGTGATGTGCTTGACGAGGCAGCCGGTTGGAATGCGTTCATGCCCGGACTTTGGGGAGAAGTTGTTTTTCACGGCCTGTATTTCAGACGCCTGTCGAAGAATTTCGTCGCGAAGCTTATCCCCAGTTGCTACGCTTTTTAGAAAAAAATTACTCAAATTTTACCCTTCCAATGACCAAATTTGCACAATTCGATCCACTCTGTAATATTGATAGGGCAAACGATACCAATGATTAGACAAAAATTCATATATTATTGCCAGTTGACAGGTTTTTTTAGTTTCCCCAAAGTGGCTAAAACACCAAGGCTTGCAGTCTTGATATACAGAAGTATGAGATGGGTGGGTGAACAGAGCGCAAATCGCGTATTGTAAAGTATTCAGTTTTCAGTGTGGAGAGCATGGTGGGTGGTGGTTGGAGGAAATTTTTCTTGGTGTTTTTATTAAATTTTCCTCCAGCCCATCCCTAAATACTCTATATAATCTAGTGAGCAACCCCTAAGTTGTACTAGGTAACACCTAGCCCTTCCAGCGCGTTGGATATTAAAGTTCCCAGATCACAGCTAATGCTTGATCAATCCACGCTTCCATAATACAAAAAGAGATAACTATACCATGACATTGGCGACCATTTCCTGTGAATCCTGGCAGGCATCTGCAGTTGAAGTGTCCAGCCGTATTTGCACAAGTTGCATTTTGGTCACAGTCATGGCTGCCGTTGCTGCATTCATCGATATCTGGGTAAGAAAGTGAGAAAGAACAATTGGTGGAAATTCAGTTAAACTAAATTTAATCAACAAGGAAGGAACAAATTACGAAATGAATTGGACGGGAAACTCGTCTTGGATTAGAGAGAGAAAAAACAACCAAGCAAACAACAAAAAAAAAGAAAAAAAAAAACGAAAAAAGCGCGAGTTTTAATCTAATGTAAAAGAGTGAAATATCATTTCGGATAAGGCCAGAGTTCAAACCATCATGATATAGAGAATATTATACGGCGGTAGCTTGAAGATATGAAAATTATTTTCTCGTGGCAAAAACAATATTTTACTCACTCGCTGCACTCGTTGGTAAAATATTGTTTTGCCACTTCAAAATAAAATTCATATCTTCGCGCCACCGTATAATATTCTCTTTATCATGATGGTGCGAACTCTGGCCTCATCCGAAATTCTTTCCAGCTAGATAATACCAGACATTTTCGTGTTTGTTGCGAAATTCTTTTTAGCTGCATAAATACAAGATACAGATGTTGGTTCCGATTGTGGTTGTCTTGCTTTGTTCGCATGGATCGGCCGCTTTTAAGAATTATCACGATTCCAAGTTTAAGTGAACTTTCCGCTGTAAGTGAATCATACCATAACACTGGTGACCATCTCCAGCGAATCCTTGCTGACAATTGCAATTAAAGTGTCCAGGGGTATTTATGCAAGTTGCCATTTGGTGGCAATCATGGCTGCCGTTGCTACATTCATCGATATCTGTGTAAGAAAGTGAGAAAGAACAATTTGTGGAAATTCAGGTAAACTAAATTTAATCCGTGACAACGAAGAAACAAATTACGAAATGAATTGGACGGGAAACTCATCTTGGATTAGAGAGAAAAAAACAGAACAAAACAAAAATAATTAAAAAAGCGAAATTTAATAAATGTGAAAGAGTGAATTATCATTTCTTATTATATAGACACGAGTGTTTTACTGGAAAATATACCACTCGTAACATTGAAAAAAAAAAAAACTACATCCGNGAGTTCACACCATCATGATATAGAGAATATTATACGGCGGTGGCCTGAAGATATGAATGTTATTTTCTCTTGGCAGAGACAATATTTTACTCACTCGCTGCACTCGTTGGTAAAATATTGTTTTGCCACTTCAAAATAAAATTCATATCTTCGCGCCACCGTATAATATTCTCTATATCATGATGGTACGAACTCTGGCCTCATCCGAAATTCTTTCAAGCTAGACAATACAAGACATTTCCGTGTTTGTTGCGAAATTCTTTTTAGCTGCATAAATACAAGATACAGATGTTGGTTCCGATTGTGGTTGTCTTGCTTTGTTCGCATGCATCTGCCGTATTTAAGAATTATCACGATTCCAAGTTTAAGTGAACTTTCCGCTGTAACTGAATCATACCATAACACTGGTGACCATCTCCGGCGAATCCTTGCTGACAATTGCAATTAAAGTGTCCAGGGGTATTTATGCAAGTTGCATTTTGGTGGCAATCATGGCTGCCGTTGCTACATTCATCGATATCTGTGTAAGAAAGTGAGAAAGAACAATTTGTGGAAATTCAGGTAAACTAAATTTAATCCGTGACAACGAAGAAACAAATTACGAAATGAATTGGACGGGAAACTCATCTTGGATTAGAGAGAAAAAAACAGAACAAAACAAAAATAATTTAAAAAGAGAAATTTAATAAATGTGAAAGAGTGAATTATCATTTCTTATTATGTAGACACGAGTGTTTTACTGGAAAATATACCACTCGTAACATTGAAAAATAAAAACTACATCCGGGACCCGAGTGGTTAATTCTCCATAATCTCACACGTGAGTGAGACGTAATTTCGGTAATTACCCACGGAAATTTTATTACGTATCATTTTTTGAATTTTACTTACACATTTTTCAAGGCTGCTTATCATTTTTGTCATAATATTTGTACTCAAGTAGTTTAAGGCCTAGGACTGATGGGTTTACCTGTGAAAAATGAATTATTGGCTATAACTTTGACATAGATGATGGCGCTGGGTCAAAATTTGGCACATATAAAGAACTCATCGTCCTTAACATTTTAAAGTAGAAACATTGTGTTCATAGGTCACGAGGTATGTCACGTGACCATTCAGCTAAAAATCTTAAATTATTGAGCAATTGGTGGCCGGTTTAAGAAAACAAATTGAGCAATAACATTTTTCTAATTCATATTAAATATTTCTAAGACTTCACGTCTGGAATGACCGTCCATTGAACTTCAATAAAAAATTATGAGGAAAGATATCTTTTTAAATGCCCAAATTTAATCTTGAATTATTTAAAACTTTAATTTTAAACTTCGGGTACATTCATTCCAAACGTAGAAAGTTAGGTTTGTTTATCCTCTTTCAGAAATACCAATTTGTTTTGCCTAACAAAGTAAATTCGCCACCAATTCGCCAATTTCCTTCATTTTCAATTTTTGGTCATGTGACATGCCACTTGACCATAATTAAACGTTAAGGCACAAGAAAACCTCAAGATATTCTTTTGGGGAAAAATTCATTTGGTTCTAGGTCTCCTAGCGAGAGATATTGCCAATCATTCTTATGCTCAGAACCCACCTTAGACCCATGCCTTAAACCCCTTGAGTAGAGCCCTATTCAGCTTAGTGAAATTTCTCATGATTATTGTAAGCAATGTTTTATATTACTGTACTTTAAATTTGAGCCGTCACAATTACTTTTTGGCGAATAAAAAGCTATTATTTTATCCATGTCTTTTTGTCTATATAATAAAAAGAACATTACACGGTGGCGGCCTGAAGATATGAGTGTTATTTTCTCGTGGCACAAACAATATTTTACTCACTCGCTGCGCTTGTTGGTAAAATATTGTTTTGCCACTTCAAAATAAAATTCATATCTTCGCGCCACCGTATAATATTCTCTGTATCATGATGGTACGAACTCTGGCCTCATCCGAAATTCTTTCAAGCTAGACAATACAAGACATTTCCGTGTTTGTTGCGAAATTCTTTTTAGCTGCATAAATACAAGATACAGATGTTGGTTCCGATTGTGGTTGTCTTGCTTTGTTCGCATGCATCTGCCGTATTTAAGAATTATCACGATTCCAAGTTTAAGTGAACTTTCCGCTGTAACTGAATCATACCATAACACTGGTGACCATCTCCGGCGAATCCTTGCTGACAATTGCAATTAAAGTGTCCAGGGGTATTTATGCAAGTTGCATTTTGGTGGCAATCATGGCTGCCGTTGCTACATTCATCGATATCTGTGTAAGAAAGTGAGAAAGAACAATTTGTGGAAATTCAGGTAAACTAAATTTAATCCGTGACAACGAAGAAACAAATTACGAAATGAATTGGACGGGAAACTCATCTTGGATTAGAGAGAAAAAAACAGAACAAAACAAAAATAATTTAAAAAGAGAAATTTAATAAATGTGAAAGAGTGAATTATCATTTCTTATTATGTAGACACGAGTGTTTTACTGGAAAATATACCACTCGTAACATTGAAAAATAAAAACTACATCCGGGACCCGAGTGGTTAATTCTCCATAATCTCACACGTGAGTGAGACGTAATTTCGGTAATTACCCACGGAAATTTTATTACGTATCATTTTTTGAATTTTACTTACACATTTTTCAAGGCTGCTTATCATTTTTGTCATAATATTTGTACTCAAGTAGTTTAATTAAGGCCTAGGACTGATGGGATTACCCGTGAAAAATGAATTATTGGCTATAACTTTGACATAGATGATGGCGCTGGGTCAAAATTTGGCACATATAAAGAACTCATCGTCCTTAACATTTTAAAGTAGAAACATTGTGTTCATAGGTCACGAGGTATGTCACGTGACCATTCAGCTAAAAATCGTAAATTATTTAGCAATTGGTGGCCGGTTTAAGAAAACAAATTGAGCAATAACATTTTTCTAATTCATATTAAATATTTCTAAGACTTCACGTCTGGAATGACCGTCCATTGAACTTCAATAAAAAATTATGAGGAAAGATATCTTTTTAAATGCCCAAATTTAATCTTGAATTATTTAAAACTTTAATTTTAAACTTCGGGTACATTCATTCCAAACGTAGAAAGTTAGGTTTGTTTATCCTCTTTCAGAAATACCAATTTGTTTTGCCTAACAAAGTAAATTCGCCACCAATTCGCCAATTTCCTTCATTTTCAATTTTTGGTCATGTGACATGCCACTTGACCATAATTAAACGTTAAGGCACAAGAAAACCTCAAGATATTCTTTTGGGGAAAAATTCATTTGGTTCTAGGTCTCCTAGCGAGAGATATTGCCAATCATTCTTATGCTCAGAACCCACCTTAGACCCATGCCTTAAACCCCTTGAGTAGAGCCCTATTCAGCTCAGTGAAATTTCTCATGATTATTGTAAGCAATGTTTTATATTACTGTACTTTAAATTTGAGCCGTCACAATTACTTTTTGGCGAATAAAAAGCTATTATTTTATCCATGTCTTTTTGTCTATATAATAAAAAGAACATTACACGGTGGCGGCCTGAAGATATGAGTGTTATTTTCTCGTGGCACAAACAATATTTTACTCACTCGCTGCGCTTGTTGGTAAAATATTGTTTTGCCACTTCAAAATAAAATTCATATCTTCGCGCCACCGTATAATATTCTCTGTATCATGATGGTACGAACTCTGGCCTCATCCGAAATTCTTTCAAGTTAGACAATACAAGACATTTCCGTGTTTGTTGCGAAATTCTTTTTAGCTGCATAAATACAAGATACAGATGTTGGTTCCGATTGTGGTTGTCTTGCTTTGTTCGCATGCATCTGCCGCATTAAAGAACTATCACGATTCCAAGTTTAAGTGAATTTTCCGCTAGAAGTAAATCATACCATAACACTGGTGACCATCTCCAGCGAATCCTTGCTGACAATTGCAATTAAAGTGTCCAGGGGTATTTATGCAAGTTGCATTTTGGTGACAATCATGGCTGCCGTTGCTGCATTCATCGATATCTAGGTAAGAAAGTGAGAAAGAACAATTTGTGGAAATTCAGGTAAACTAAATTTAATCCGTGACAACGAAGAAACAAATTACGAAATGAATTGGACGGGAAACTCATCTTGGATTAGAGAGAAAAAAACAAAACAAAACAACAACAAAAAAAAAGCGCGAGTTTTAATCTAATGTAAAAGAGTGAAATATCATTTCGGATGAGGCCAGAGTTCACACCATCATGATATAGAGAATATTATACGGCGGTGGCCTGAAGATATGAATGTTATTTTCTCTTGGCAGAAACAGTATTTTACTCACTCGCTGCACTCGTTGGTAAAATATTGTTTTGCCACTTCAAAATAAAATTCATATCGTCGCGCCACCGTTTGATAACATTCTCTATATTATGATGGTGCGAACTCTGGCCTCTTCCGAAATTCTTTCCAGCTAGCTAATACAAGACATTTTCGTGTTTGTTGCGAAATTCTTTTTTGCTACATAAATACAAGGTAGAGATGTTGGTTGCGATTGTGGTTGTCTTGCTTTGTTCGCATGCATCTGCCGCATTTAAGAATTACCACGATTCCAAGTTTAAGTGAACTTTCCGCTGTAAGTGAATCATACCATAACACTGGTGACCATCTCCGGCGAATCCTTGCTGACAATTGCAATTAAAGTGTCCAGGGGTATTTATGCAAGTTGCATTTTGGTGGCAATCATGCCTGCCGTTGCTACATTCATCGATATCTGTGTAAGAAAGTGAGAAAGAACAATTTGTGGAAATTCAGGTAAACTAAATTTAATCCGTGACAACGAAGAAACAAATTACGAAATGAAGTGGACGGCCGTTTTTGAAGAAATATAGCTGAGAGGAACGATAAAAGTGTCAGGCAATATTTACATAGGTTGCATGCCGGAATAATTCATGGCTACTAGTTTTAAGAGACACTCGTATTGAATTAATGAGACAGAAAAAAAAATCATAGTTAAAAAACGCGATTTTTAGTCCATTATGGCTGGCTGTCGTTGCCGCATTCATCTGTCTCAACGATATCTGGATGAGAAAGTAAGAAAAAAAAAAAACAAATAATAATAATGGAAACTTCATTTGTGTTTTTGAATGTACAATTGTAAATCTCGCTACGTATAGGCAATTTACAAATGCTGCTTGAGATTGGATTATTCAAAAAAAGAAAAAAAAAAGGAAATCAAAATTGCATTAAGTCTGGGCTATCCCAATTCCTATTTCTATAACAAAAGATGTAATATGTTGCTCTAATGGCTATATTTATCATAATAATAATACTACTACTACTACTACTACTACTAATAATAATAATAATAATAATAATAATAATAATAATAATAACAATAATAATAATAATAATAATAATAATAATAACGATAGAATTGTAATTGGTCGAATTTCAAGTCAACTTGATCTCCTCAGCAAAGAAGAGGCCAATTAGAAAATAATGCTGACAGGCTATTTTTGGAGAAATCTGGCTTACATGTTCACAAAATTACATGAGTTTAATGCGGGTGATAAGCATGGCTTCCATTGCTACGCAACATAGGTCCGTTCGTGATGGGAGAAAGCATAAAATACCCAGTTTTCCATTCAATTATTATAAAAAAAGGTGAAATAGTCAAGGTTACTGTGCTTCTGCGTAAATTTCGCGGCTGCCTTGCTTTCAAGTTTAAGTGCCCTTCTCACCGGAGAGTCATACCATATCATTGGTGACCATCTCCCGTGAATACTGGTTGACAGCTGCAATTAAAGTGCCTTGGGGTATTTTTGCAAGTTGCATTTTGGTGGCAATCATGGCTGCCGACGCTGCATTCGTCGATATCTACATAACATGTGGAGAAAACACTAAGTAAACAATAGGCCTTTTTCTTTAAGCTTCTCTTCCCCCATATATTGTGTGATTGAAGTGTGAAAGTGAATTGTTTGTGTAGAAACTTTAGAACCGATTGTGTTTCTGGGTTTCCACCAATATTAGGGGCTTTTGGATTTCGAACAAGGTCTGTGGGAACGGTGGTGTGATGGGTACACCTCAGTCCTTACGGACCTAGTTTAACAGATACAGTGGCGGCTGAATAGCATTTTGCTAGCCAATGTTGTTTTGTCTCGATATTTTTGACCAACTAGTTGGATTTTGCAAAAACAATTATTCCTCTCGCCCTCATGGTCACTGAGTCAATAGCCCATTCGGCCTTCGGCCTCATGGGCTATTGACTCAAAGCAAGAGACTATAAAGGGGACAGAGAGGGCATTCCCCATATACACCCTATTCCATAGGTAATTCGTCTCGAGTTATTTTTAGAACCGCAGATCCCAAGGGGGATTGTACAACAGCCAATCACATAGCGCGAATGTATTCCGCGTGGACGACCCACGCTAGAGCCACGCGTCCTCCACGAATTGACGCGGAACAAAATGGGGGAAGACGTGGAGAGCGATTTTGCTATTCCTTTTGTCGACGAAAACGACTCCAGCGAGATTTCTGCGAAAGCTGTGTCAGCGAAACGGAAATTAAAAAAGAATCGCCCTTCCTCTCTTGTATAGAGCTAACAGTACAGCAGGGAAATCCTTAACACACTGAATATTCTCTCAGGATCATTTATAATTTACAGTTTGAAGAGAGCAATTTCTGGTTTGATATTTATTCCTTTATTAGTCTTTTATTATTCAACAAAAATAACACTTGGCGTCCTACTTGCCTTATTAGGGACTTTAAGATCCAACGGCGTGACGGCGACAAGAACGTCGCTTAAAAAGTGGATTTGAGTTTTTTCAGTCTTTATAGCGATTATTCCTACCCACTTACTTTGTCAATTGTAGGCAAACCCTCCTGAAGCTGAATTTCAAGGGACCATATTCAAGCTCAGAAAGAGAAATAAAATTTCGTC